CTAAACTTGAGGCAGCTCATGGCGGTTTGCAAGCCAGGGATAGAGACCCAAAATGTCCTCATCACGTCAGCTGGGGAGGAGGGATGGGGAGATCCTGGGCTCCTGCCAGCCCCCCATGGCAGCGCCCGGGCTTTGAAAGCGATGCTGAAGCCCCGAATTGAGGGGTCCCGCTATCCCACCCCTTGCCTGCCCTTTCCTCCTCCTCCGTCCAGGTCCCAGCAGAGGACGAAACCTGAGAGTGGAGCAAATGGCATCTGAAGCAGCCCCCGTCCCCGGGCGCTGGTCAGGTCCCCGGGGCACGGCTGGGGGGGAATGCAGCGCCTTTGTCACGGGCTAATTTTGGCTCCTCTGTGCTCCGAAAACAATCCTGAGGCAGCCGGGAGGAAAGATGCTGGAGGCATGGCCCCGCGGGGGCTTTTGCCTTATAAAGGTCTAACGGGGCTGGTATAAAGCCTCCTCCTCCTCGGCGGCTGGGCGCAGATCCGCTGTGCTGGTGCTTGGAACAGGGGAAGGGGAAACGACCTTGGCGGGACCCCCAGGAGGGTGGGTGCAAGGGGGGAGTTTCTCCTGGGCTTGCTGGGACTTGACGAGCTCAGGTCAGCCGAGGATGGCACTGTCACTGCCATTGCCACTGTCACCACCACCGACCTGCCACCAGCTGGGGGGCTGCTGCATTGCCCCCCGCCAGGGCAGAGCTCCCCCCTCGGTGTCCAGGCAGGAGCCGGGGAAGGAGCCAGGGAAGGAGCCGGGGAAGGCGGCCGTGGGCCGTGGGCTGTCCTGCGGAGCAGGGGGGCTCTCTTTGCTCCCCACCATGGGAGCTGCCCCGGGCCTGCAGCTGCGTGTCCCTCCGCGACCATAATAGCCTCGGGATTAAAATACCGGGCATTGTCCCTGCTGGGCTGCACGCTGGGAATTGTTTGCTCCTAAATTTGCCCCTAAAAATATCCCGGAGGACGGGTGCCGCCTGCTGCCGCTGTCCTCTGCTGCGTGCCGCCTCCCTCGGCGGGGACACCGGGCAAGGGGCTGGGCGGGGGGCGGGGGGGGCAGGCAGCAGCTTTTTTTGCTGCTTTTCAGGAAAGTTGTGCAGGACTCCCAACCTGTGCTGTGCTGGGTGAGTCTGGCTGGTCCTGCTCCCCAAAGAGGGCACCGTCCCATCCTCGGTCCCAACCGATCATCTGGTCCGACGCTGTAACCCCCCCTCTGCTCTTTTCCCCCATCACCTCTCGGCAATGTGGACCGTCCTGGCTCCGGGGGGCTTCGCCCTCCTGTTCCAGCAGCTCCGGTGGCTCCAGGGAGGCCCCTTGGCCCGTGGGGACATGGCTCGGTGCCGGCAGCGCTGCACAGCACGCGCACCGTCGCGACCATCAGCTCTCC